TGGAAACTTCTGCATGGCTTCCTCACAGCCTTTCCACAGTGTAAGGTGCTTTATAGAGAAAGTGCACTATTTGATGTGAATTTTTTTATTTTTTTGAGAAGTGAAACAATTTCTCACTTAAAATGTTTATCAAGTGAAGATGATAGGTTTACGGTGATTCTCCTGTTCATAAAAAAAAAAAAAAGGAGATTTGGGTGACAGGAAAATATTTCCCTGGCTTATGACAGCTTACTGAACAGGTCAGTATCCTGGTTAATTATTAAAATACGCAGAACACAATGCAAGGTTTATCTTTATATAGCTAACACCAGATACTTGTATTTTTTTAATAACAATTAGAATAGCATGTGGGAAGTCAGTGGATGGAGACCAGTGAGTAAGGGGCAGTGTAGTTGAGGTAAGAGTAATAGACTACAGATAAACAGTAAGTTTCTTCTGTATAGCACAGGGAGGAACTATATTCAATATCTTGCACTAACCTATAATGGAAAAGAATATAAAAACGAATATATGTATATATATGTATGACTGAAACATGCTGTACACCAGAAATTGTTGACACTGCATTGTAAACTGACTCTACTTCAATTCAAAAAAAAAAAAAAGGAAAAAATAAAAACTAGACTGAATTCATGTAACGGTTCTGCCCCTTTCTTCCTTGAGGGGCCGCAGTCACTGAGTCCCTTAGTCTTCTCCCCTCTCCCTAGATGACTTCTAACAGCCCTCATCTCTGAAACTGTGATTACAGAACTTGTTAATGTTCATTTTTTTGACTTCACTCAAATGATTCACCAAAATGCTAGAAGAGAACTACGACATTTGATTTCCAGCATTTAGACTATTACCTGCTTATTCAGCAGGTATTTTAAATCCCTTTTGGAACAAAGAGACACACAGAAATAAGGTAAAATGACCATCTCAGCTATGCCAAAAACCACATTGCATTTTGCATAGAACGCAACAGATGATTGTTACCAACTGCAAAAGGTCAATGCAACTGACAGGTTAAGTTCGTGGCAGTCCTATCAATCCAACTTAACTGTCTAATTAACTACCCATCTCCCATCATGATTCAAAAATGATATAAGGGGGCTTAAATAATACAGAATAGCATAAATGAAAAGTGAACATTCAGAATAGGAAAATAAAACTAAAGATGAGGGTATAAAATAAACCAGGAATGATGTTCTAATAAATCACCATAATGACCTATATTACAATCTGCTCCTGGTGGAACCCAAATTTGGCATTAAGCTTGTCAGCATCCAGTGTGAAAGAGGAATTCTACCTGATCAACTACATAATTCATAGAGAACATAAGATGGAAGCAAAGCTCAGCAGAAATGCAGTTGTTTGCGGTTGTAAGAAGCAATCAGGGGGTCTTCACACAGAACTCGCCAACAGCATCTTCAGTAGCCTTCCTTAGAGTGGATGCAATGGTTAGTACACAGGGCTAGTCCTCGAGACAACTCTCACTTCGAGACAACAACATCACCACCAAGCAGAGGCAGGCATCACAGTATGATGGTCAGAAGAGGCTACAGTCCCACACTGTCTGACTTCACACCCCAGCTCTGTCACGAAAGCTGTGTGACCTGGAACATGTTATTCCAATCTGCCTCAGGTGCCCTCAGTTTCCCTAACTGTGAGGTGGGGGTAAAAGTGCAATTTGTGAGGATTAAGTGGGTTCATAAGAAATGTACAGTGTCACCACTTGTTCACGAAGAGCTCAATACAAGCATTTGGGGTGGAAACTGCCTTATGACCGTTCAAAAACCTACTCCACCCTGCCCTGACGAGCCCAAGGCAGGTTTGAGAACAGTGCTGTCCAAAGGAAGTTTCTGCAGAAACACTGTTCAATACAACAGCCTCTTGAGGCTACTGAACAATAGAAATGTGGCTGGTTTTGTTTTAAGGTGTAAAATAGGAGGGAGGGTAGAGCTCAAGTGGTAGAGCGCATGCTTGACATGCACAAGGCCCCAGGCTCAATCACCAGCATCTCCTCCAAATAGAAATGTATGACTAAACATGAGTAAACCACACCCCCCACCAAAAAAAAAGATGTAAAATGGAGTTGGCTTTTAGGCTCAGATAACTTTGCTCTGACGAACTGAATTTCTAACTTCATTTGAGTAGCCACAATGAAAGATGCAGAGAACTTCCATCACTGCAGAGAGTTGGGGCAGCGCTGATCCAAAACATCTTCCAAGCAACACCCTCTTCATGCTGTTATCAGCAAAGTCTTTGATGACTATTAGGCAACGAGGAACCCCAGACTACTCCTTGACATCTCACTGGCGTGTGTCCAAAGCCCCGTTGCCAGGTAAGTGTAGACCCTTGTGCCTACGTGGAGCTGTCCATTTGTGACGTAAAATGAGCAGATGAGTGGCTGAACACAATGCCAGCCCATCTGTGCTTTGAGGGAAGCCAAGTAGGTATCCACAGCAAGGCCAAGATCCTCTCTAGAAAACTTTGGAATCTACATCTGAGCACAATGGAATGGGCTTGATCCCAGAGTTCCACCTCATCTAGCACAGCTGGGACTGTTTCGGCTTGGACAATTTTAAAGGGTGGTTTACCCAGATGCTGGCCTCTTTTTCCTCCAGGGCTCTATTAACTTTGAGAAATGCTACTTCCTGGTGTACCCTTCCAAGATAAACTACTTGGAAAAGGTATACCAAGATGACTAAAAAGAGAAGCTGTAGTATGTATGCATCACTGATAAAAGTAACAACTGCTGAAGTCAATAAATGATTTAATATAAGTCATGTAATATGAAGGAAAAACAAAGGGAAAGTAACTGATAATGAGATGTGTATGTCCACATGTGAATGCCCAGGCGCAGTGACACTAGACGAAGCAACTAAGTCACCGGTACCCACACGCACAAGTATGTGGGGACTCAACTATCATCAGCAGCACTGCTGTCAGTAACAAGACTTTTTGAAAGAAGTATAATTTCTGGTCAAGTTTTGAACAAAATAAAGTAGAATCTTCCCTCAGTTATCTCATGAGTGTATTCTTAGAAAATTCAGGGTACATTAAAACTGTATGAAAAAATACTTTAAAATGTAAAATGGAGTTAAGTTTTAGGCTCAGATAACAAATTAAAAAAAAAATCATATGAATGACCAGCGGAACATTCGAGAATCATGGGATGTGGCACAATTCTTTGTTGTGCTAAACTGTCCCATGTGCTGTAAGACATAAAACATCTATGTGACCTGCCCACTAATGTCAGCAGTGTCCCCAGTTGTTTCTAAAATCATGGGTCCAAGCCCATCATATTAATTCAACCAACACCACCCGCACGGGTAACTGATTCATCAATCCAGGCCTAATCAGCAAGTGCATGGCACTGGTTGGTTTGAGAACACGGTACACAATGTAATGCTGGCCAATGAAACTGAGAGGAAGTTTGCTGGGGACTTTGCAGGAAAGCTTCCAAGGAGCAAACCAAAGGAAAGACAGTCGTTTTTTCTCTACATGGTCACAAATGGATGTGAGGCCTGAAAATTCTGGACTCATCTCAGAACCAGCTAGAGGATGAAACCAACAAACAGGAAGGGAGAACAAAAAACACAGGCAACTGAGCTAAATGTGGATTATGCCACCCTTGGGGTCTACTCCACCTCTGGGCTTCCAGTTACACAAATTAATACGTTTCTTATGGTTCAAGCCATTTTGAGTTTGGGTTTTGGTTTCTTGCAGCTGAAAGCACTTTGATACATACATAAACAATTTCACAAGTCAAAGACCGGGTTAAATAAAACAACAACAAAAAGTGACTATTGTTCCTGGACTTTTATACCATGTGGTAAAAAAACAAACAAAACAAAAACAAAACACAGTATTTTTTCCACCTGTGGTAAGTGTGAGGCAGGCTGTGCTGGTGGAAGGCCTGCATGCTCTTACGTAAAGGAGATAGGGGTACAGGGCTCTGTGGTTCCTCCATCCAGCAGCAGGCATGTTGTGGAAGGAGAATGGCCAGCACAGTTCACACATGCAGCCTGTTCGAGGAAACACGTGAGAAGTACACGTTTAATCTGAAAAGGAAAAGTACAGTTACAGGAAAAAAAGTATTTGTGTACAAAGAGTTCCACAGGACATACTGTGAACAAACAGGAGAGGAAAAATAGACTAAGTCTCCGTTCTCATGAAACTTATCAAAAAGATAAAAAAAAATACAGTTGACCCTTGGACAACAAGAGTTTGAACTGTGTAGGTCCACGGATACCCAGATTTTTTTTGTTAAATACACAGCACAGTACTGCAAGACCATCTGCTGGGTGAGTCCGCAGGTGCGGAACCACGACACCGAGGGCCCACGGTAATGTCACACACAGACTTTCAACTGCACGGTGGCCAAGGCTCCTAGTCCCAAACCCTGCGTTGTCCAGTGGCCAACTGTGCACGTTTCTGAGTACAGCACGTGATGAGGAAATGGTACACAGGGAAGTGGGCAGTCAGATATGGTTAATGGTTAAGGGTAAGTATTTGCAAACAGGAGTGGAAATTTTAGTAATATATGCTGCTGAGATGGCAGCAGGCAAGGTTCTAGATGATTACAATTGCCAGGTTCATGACAGACAGCAGGGCAGAAGGAAAGAGAAAATTTATAATTGGGGATAAGGCCTAAATGTGGAATCCCTGCTCCACCATGTCCCAGATGTTTGACCTGGGACAAGGTACTTACCCCTCCTCGTCAGTTTCTTCATCTTACAAGACCTGGAAGTGTATCGGGGGTGGGGCGAACATAAGGATGAAATGAGATGAGGTGTGCTGGGAGGTGCTTAATCATGATAGTTATGATCATTCTTAAAACCACAAGCAATTCGCCCAAATTAATTTCAGAATATTTATAAGGTAAGCAAATGTGAAACTTGAAATACCTATTACATCAGGTTTGAAAAAAGCTGTTTTTTTAAACAGCCAACTGGAACTCATTTTTAAAAAACCCTATATTAAAAGAAAAAAACAATGATACAGAAGAAAATAGATTGTGATTAAGAGATTATAAATACATTTATTGATAGTATTACTGAATACTGAATGTAGAGAATAGAATACAAAGAAATCAGCACTTAGAAGGAAACATTAATCTTTAAAAAATGCAATATATTTACATAGATGTTAACCAATTTCACACATCTGTTAAGAGTTATAAACATAGACAAAGCTAATTTCAAAGCTTTCAATCTGAATGTACTTTGATGAATTCTAGTGTTCTCCAGTCTAATGTCCACTGTTTTTTGCTGTATTTACACCAAGTATGATTAATTTTGTTTGTATCTAACCTAAAAGCAAGAGTCTGTGTGCTGATCCTGAGGCAGCCAGGTAAATCAGGAATTTCAGAACACCTCTTTGAGACAGGATAAAGCCACATGAAAGAAAACACCTCAATCCTAGATATACAAATGCAAAAGAGAAAATATTAAGCAGCAAAGAGAATCACAGAAATATCAATTCTATTCTAAACTATAATTTCTAATTCTAGCAGCAGTTCAATTAGCAGTAGCTTAGATGACTGTGTGTGAAAAATGAAACCATTAGTTCTTTCACTACAATTTTTTGACTTAATTATCAAGTCTTCACATCCTATTTTAATAATCCAAGAATATGATTTATATACAACATAACCATTAACAAAAGAGGCCTTCAAATGTACTGCTGAAAAATGCAGTATAGTTTGGGGGCCAGATTTCAATTCACATAATACTACAATGCAGGAAGAGTTTACGACACCTAGAATAGCGTTCAGCGCTGTTAATTCAGAAATACTCCATCCACTCTTGCCATCGGAGAATTACTGACATGGATGTGATTGTTATGACAATTCTAACAGGGCCTCTAAACAAGGTTGAACTTAAAATGAAAAAATTATAAACTATGATACAATTGCGACAACACAGCTAGCTTATAGAACTGAATTTTTCACATAACAGCGCTACAGAATTACAGTGACAGGTAACAGTGACAGGTAGCAGGGGAGAAACATCTCCCCCTGCTAACTACTGAGTAGAAGAGGTTTTCTGACTGTATTTTTGATGACTAGGATATCTTGCAAATAAACACCAGGAGAAAGTGAAGAGTGAACAAAACGAACTTCTCAAGTTCTGTTTTCACGAATATTATAAACAAGCAAAGCAGTTTACCAAAAAATCAAAATTATCCTAAAAGCAAATAAATATGAGATCAAATCAATCATTCGTGAAGAAAATATAGCATATTTTCAAAAGTTCTGTTCGGTTTGAGACTAGACTTAAAAATATTAAAACATACCAAACAGATTCCAATAACACTGATTTGCTATTCAGGCTTTGAAAAAAGCACTTCAAATTTTAAGCTGAATGTTTCATATTCCCCGGTATTCCCCAGAGAAAGTAAATAAAAGAGAAAAGTGGCTTTTGAAAAAATAGACAAACAAAAGCAAAACAAAACTAACCAAAACTAACCACGTAGGATAACCTTCTCCCTTCTGAACGTTTCACTATCGTTGAGCCTACATTAGGGTAAGGTTTGTACAGCAAGGGTTCCTAGTCCCGGCCTCCATCTTTTGTTCCGCAGTCCACGTTTTATCAGAGAAGGCTGCGCAGAGGCTTTCCTAAGAAGTCAGGCTGAGTTGGAGGTAGCTTAGGACACAGTATGCTTGACTACAGTATGTAGTTAATTCAAATAGACATGTCGTTCTTCTAAAAGGGTAACAATGTGTAAAAATGCCAAAAGGAAAAATGGACAGCCCTCACTGCCTTGCACTAAGAGAAGATTCTGATAAACTGAGAACAAACACTGGAAGCCAGGACACTGGCACTGGTTTCATCTCCCACAAGCTCCTTCAATGCACCAGTTCAGGCTGGTTTTCCACGAAGGGCAGCACCCCACTCACATAGTAGGCAATACCAAGGGACAGCAGAGCAATGACAAAGATCAGGAGCAACACCCTCCAGAAGCCCAGATCCTCTACAAACTCCTGCCACGTGGTTCGGAAGCTGGACAGGACTCCTTCTCCTTGCTGCAGGTTGGGATTGAGCAGGGAATGGCTTTCCATGGCACTGTGAGAGAAGCAAAGAGAAAAGAAAGGGTATGAGACAACACATTTCACCTATTTCAAGAACATAAAGCAAGAGGAACTGCACTGTTTAGAAAAGACCAAACTTAAAACAACACTTACAAGAAGAAAACTGACACATGTACGCATACTCTCACCCACCTGTGTGCTGATTTGTGTATCTGCGTGCATCTCCGCACTGTACCTGTGACTATAAATTGCTACATAGCAACGATTATGTTTCACGGTTTAGTATCTGGAAGGGTCAAAGTTCAGAATCCTTTTCTAATAAAAAATGTCCCAAGCAGAAGTCTTGAAGTAGGTCAAATGAGTTGTTTCCATCAGATACTAAAGCAAAACACATTTTGGCTATTTGAAATTTAGACGAATTCAAAATGAGAATTCATGTTGATGAAAATAAGCAAAGATGGGCAAATCTAAAAAACTGCTTTACACAGTGTGTGAATCTTAAAGTGAAAAGGGGATTTTATTCATTTAGTTCAATAGTCTGACCAATGAAGGAATTCCTTTTCGCAGCTGTCATCCTCTACTAGTGGCTGCTCCCTCTTCAGGCCGCGGTACACTTGGACAGGGCTAGCCACTAGGAATTCCTCCTGATAGCTTCCTCCCACTGGTTTTAGTTCCATCTTGTACAACAATACAGAGTAAGTTTATTTCTCTTTCACATTAAGGCTGAGTCTAGTCGAATATAAGGTAGTACAAATACTATAAAAACAGATTCTGGTTTTCAGAACTATATAAACAAAAAATATGACCACCACAAAAAGAAAACAGCGTATCTGATGTTGGTATTCAGAAGGCTGCACTGTGATCAATTCCCAGCTCTAAGGGATCAGCATGCACAACTGTGTCACAACACGCAGGCCCAATAACAGGGCATCACTTAGACTAAAGCCACAATGACCATAATCACAGGTACCAGCTGTCTACCGCTATTACTATCCTTCCTAAACTCCTTCTCTTCACATTCTTCCAACCATCTTGGGACAGAACAATGGAAACAGCATGAAACAATTAGAGCCTGGTTCTTCGTGCGTAACTGACAGTTTTCACTGTAACCTACAACTTTTACTTCTGAACACTGTGAGCCAGACGCCCTTCAGCCTTTCCTGGCGTTAGTCTTCTCTAGTCATCGGAAGGTGACTTCCTAAAGGGCCGGTCTGCTTAACATCCAACTGTTTTATATTGAAAAATGTTTATCTTCTTAATAATAAAAGACATTTTCTAGTTTTATTTTTAATTTTTTTATTTTTTATTGAAGTATAGATTTATAGTGTTGAGTTACGAGAAGACATTTTCCATGGTTATCTACAACAGTATGAAAATTTAAGAAATCTCAAGGAAGTTCAAAATAAGATTAGGACCCTGAGAAGTTTAGGAGAGGTTTTGACTTACCTGAAATTTACTGACTATGTCTGAGTCGACATGCTCTCATATGTAAAGGTGTTAGATACAGGTATCTCCCACTTTTTGGAAGTTCGCTTTATGCCACCTCACTTTTAAGAAACATCTGCGATACTACCTGTATTTGCTAACTGAAAAAAATCCCAAGAGGAATTTAGCTTTTATACGAAAAAATCAAAAATATTGTTCAATGTTTGTTTTGCAGCGAGAGTGGCACTGCCGAGCTGCTTCCCCAGAACTACACTCATCTCAGCACCCAGCTGCCAAAGCTCTGAACTGTGTCTGTGAGCCTCTGTGCCTTATCCTCATTTCCTCTGTGCATCCGTTAGTGAGATGTCTCCTAAGAGAACTGCTTCTTTGCTTGATGCCACCTTGGCTCAGGAAAGGTTTCCTAGAACACTCTACTTTTGCATAGTAAAGGGTGGAAGCGGTGGGAATCTACAAAATGAGAATTCAGTCGCACAGAGAATTTAGTCGCGAAATCTCTAGGCACTCGTGAAGTTCTGCTAATCAGAATTTAGCCAATGAAGTGTTTTCTACTGTCTAGGAAATACCTGATTCTAGCATGGTGGTCTGACTGTGCATGTGTAATTATTTTTGTATATGTATCATCTATACTGTCTCTGTCATTCATACCTACAAAGTGAAGAAAAACTAAATTAAACCTAGGATATATGGGGGTATGGGGAAATATTTTTCATCAACTAAATAATTTATAGGCCTGTAAGAAGTTATGCTATTTTTCAGGGAACCGTAAAGGAAATGGAAAATACTTGGTATATTCAAAATCTTGCTTTTATCTCTTGTTCTAGAAAAGACGAATCATCACACAGCTGCCCAATGCCATGTACTAGCCAATCCTTTTAAGTTTTCCCCCCACTTTTTCTTCTTGATATAATTCATGTACCATAAAATTCATCTTTTTAAAGTACATGATTCAGTGGCGTTTAGTCTGTTCACCAAGTTGTACAACCATCTCCACTATATAACCTGAGAACATTTCTATAATAAACTCTGTACCCTTCAGCAGCCACTTCCTACTGCCCCTGCCCTGCTCCTGGCAACCACTAATCTACTTTCTGTTTGCTGATTATGGACATTTCCTATAAATGGAATCGTATGATACGTGGCCTTCTGTGCCTGGCTTCTCTCACGGGGCACATTTTCAAAGCTCATCCATGTTGCAGCATATGTCAGCATTTCATTCCTTTTCTTACGGCGGAATGTTTCATTGAATGGATAGGTGATATTTTGTTTATCTGTTTATCGGTGATGAATTTCTGGGTGGTTTCCACCTCTTGGCTATGAAAATAATGCTTCTATGAACATCCGCGTACTAGTTTTTGTGTGAACACATGTTTTCAATTTTCCTGGGCATATACCTAAACGTGGAGTCGTTGTGGTAAGTCTGTGTAACTTTCTGAGGAGCTGCCAGACTGTTTTCCACAGCAGCTACGCTACTTTACGTCCAGCAAAGTCTGAGGGTTCGAATTTTTCCTTGCTGGTAATACTTGCTATTGTCCATCTGTTTGATTACAGCCATCCTATTGAGTAGGAAGTGGTATTTCACTGTGGTTTTAATGTGCATCTTCCTAAAGACCAACGATGCTGCCTTTAAGCGTTTCACTTTATGCTTCACCCACCGCCTCCCTACCACGGCACTGGAGGGCAGGAGTCAGTCCGGACAACCAGGTTTTAAAGAGCTGTCTTCACACCATGCTGTGACTAATACGCATGCAAACGTTGAACTGCAACGGCAGGTACGTGAAAGAAGAATAAGTGTCATACTGCGCCGCTCAAGTGACTAATCACTTCTTAGTTAATAAGTAATCACAATTGATGCAACAAAGTTAAAAGTGTATTTCGAACAAAGAGGTGCCAAGAGACTGGCTATTAATAAAATACACCAAGCAAAAATGCATTCTTGGAGATTTTTCACGGTAAAGAAGCTTAAGGTAGTTATGAAAATAATCTTTAAGTTCTTTTGGAAGAACATGATCTTTAACAAATAATAGATAACTCAATGCTACTGAATTGCTGATGGCATTCTGACCGCCAATCGGGAGCACACAGGAGACAGAAGGGCCTGCCCGTGCACCTCAGACTTCTCACTTATTTCATGTGCTTGCCTGCTTTCAGTGGTAACTCACGAGGGGCATGCACCAGAGCCCCAATTTCACCTGTTCCAATTCACGTGGAAGTTGCTTTCACGTCCAAGTCACTGGCGGGTGTGTGAAATCTTGTCTTACACTCTCTCCTCCTGTTTTACTGTCCTCAGCACTTTAATTCCCTACCCTTGAAACTCCCTTTTCAGTCTCTTTTAATACTGTCCAAGTTCTTGGCCTGCCTTCTCTCTCCTCCCTTTCTGAAATTCCATTCTTTTTGTGACCCGTATCTAGATTCTCAAACTCCCGCTTCCTTCCCTCCTATTCAGCTTTTCCCCGCCTGTACGGCAGGCTTCCCTGCACACTGGCTAACAGGGCATTATGTGCACGTGGGCACGTAGGACTTACTGTTAATAGCTTTTCAATTGTAATCTGGAGCCAGAAGGACAATATAAAGTTCAAAGAAAGTATCAAAGCTCTTCACTTGAAAGCAAATAAATATAAAGCTCACAAAAAGCTGTCATGAAAGATTCACTTAAAGTGACTCGCCCCTTAAAAAAATGGTACCTTAAGTACCTTTCACTTTCAGCTGTCTGCATGGTCTCCAGTTTTGAGTGAGTTCCTCTGTTAAATCCTTTTACCTCCTGTTCTTCCAAAGATTCCAGCAATCGGATGACATCTTTATTCACTCCCCTGCGCTTTGCCAGCACTAAGGGTGTAGCACCTTGATGATTGCTAAAAAAGTTCATAAAAATAAAGAGGTCATCATAGCAGTTTTATTTCCCTGTTAGTAGACATCTGTGTAGATCTCAGTGAGGAAGGCATGGGCCCCATTAACTCAAATCCCAGAGCAGAATCAATGGTTGAGCCAGAACCTGAATTCTGAATTAACCAATTTATTTTTTCCTTTTAGGGGAAAAAGGGACAAAAATATATATATATGTAGGCATAAGAGTAGATAAATGAGAATAAATAAAAAGAGGACATCTTCCTAGAAATTAACTGGAAAATTTTACATTCTAGATTCATTCTTGTCTGACATTTATATTTTATGGGAAGAGTATACATATTTTAAAAATACCTAAGAATTAAAACAAAACTCATAAGCAATCAAATAAGCTGCTTTGGTTCACCGAGCTATTCAACAACAGGAGACAGCCCAAGTAATACTGAATCCTGTAGTTAATGCCCACCACATTTTGTCCTATAGTAGCAAAACCATTTACTGTCTTATTTAGGGACATTATAGTACCAATACATTAGGGCAACATGTAACTGTAGCTTAAAGGTCAAGGTTGCTTTTAAAAGTGGTCTGATATCTTTCCCACTCAAGAGACAAGGTATCACTAAAACAAACAAACAAACAAAACCAAACCAAAACCAAAACCAAAAACCTACTTCCTCAAATTGTTCAGTATGAAAAGGACTCAGCCCCAGAGATAAGGAGGCTGGCATGGTACAGAAGTCAAACAAGCTCTGGATCAGGTGGAACGAGGTTCAGACTCCAGCTGTGTGACCTCTGTTACACCATTTAAGCCAGAATTCTTGTCTCAACCATCATCTATAAAATGAAGATAACACCTACCTCAAGAGCTGTTCACTCTGAGGATTAAATGAGCTAACACAGTAAGTGCAATGCCCAAGCCGTAATCGATTTTCAACAAATGTGAGTTCTTCTCTTCTTTTTCCCTTGTCTAACAATACACAATTAATGAGGAGCAGAACCTAGCCACTATTTTCATAGAAAAACTTACCACTGCTTCCGCATAAATCTAGAAGTCAGCCTCTTGCTACATCACTCCCCTAACAAGATGGCACTGTCCTCAATACCTTTCTGAACTTGTCACTACACCTGATCAACGAGGAGACAAAATCAGTAGACTTCCAAGATTAGACCACTGGTTGAGAGACTAATGGGAAGAAATGACTAGACTTCAAAAACCATGGAGAACTTACCAGATATCAATTTTGAGTCCATTAGAAACTAAGAATTGAATAGTATCCACGTGGCCACAGAGGTGAAGTGCTGTGTTTCCCTGGTAGTCTGTGGCCAGGAGGTCAGCACCGAATTTATGTAACAGCTGGCAGATGTCCACGTTGCCTCGGGCTGCTGCGAGGTGAAGGCCTGTTCTGCCCCTGCCGTCACGAATATTTGGGTCAAAGCCACTTTCCAGAAGCCGCTTGGAGTAGTTAAAGTCTCCATCAATGCAGGCTTGTAGCAGGGGCACGTTAGTCTGAGAGGAATCATTTACAAAAACGTAGGACATTGCTGGAATGTGGTGGGGGGAATATGCCTGTAATGAAATACGAGGTGAGTGGGATTTGCTGCAGCCAAACTAAATCAAGACAATGAAATCACTCAGAAAAGCACTATTTCTTTTCCCTCTTGGCCTCCTGCCTCTAATAAATCATCTCACCAAGCAGAAACAACAGCAGAGTTATCAAGTATTATATTTTATTTTCCATTAACGTGTCTCTTAAGTTAAGCAAGATATAAGCAATCTGATTTAAGTTTACTACTCTATCAGAAGACACAGACAACATATTCCTTAAACTTCAAATAGCTACCTACACACACACACACACACACACACACACACACACACAAATGTTACTACTGGTAGAGATTCTTACTAAAAACAAAGTAATTCTCTTTCATATATTTGCTTCTTATTGTATTTGAGATATTCTATTTGGTAAACAGAATTTTCTGCTCAAAAGTTAACTAAATCAGCTTTAAAAAATAAATAGCTTAATTCACACTCAACAAGGACCTGCTAAATGCTGTGTGTATAGTACAAACTTCAAATTTTAATTGGAATAGAAAAGCCAAGGAAAGTAAAAAACTAAATTTAAAAACTGGAAATATCCTAAAATTGATCCAGATTGTCCATCGTTTTACAGTGCTGATCCTATTCTGCTCCGTCCTGTGGTTATCTAAATATCTGATTTTGCTAAACTCCCACGGTCTGAAGACGGAGCGGTGAGGAGAAACAGGTCTCTGGGAATTCGGAGGTGGGACCAAGGCAGCAGTCCTTGCTGTGTCCACTCTAATATTCCACCCATCTGAGCAGCCCAGGTTCACCAGTCGGTCTGTCCACGCCCCTTTCACTGCTGCTTCTCTGTCCCAGCAGTCTCCCGGTCTCTCAGTGTGAGAAAGGGGGTGTGTGTGCGCGTGCGTGTGAGCGTGTGTGTGTGTGTGTGTGTGTCTCCACCCCACCCCCAACTTCCTTTTCCTTGGTTCACTTAAGAAAAAGTTAAAGCCTGATAAAAGAAACTCTCCTAAGAAATTAAAGAGAAAGCAAACCAAAACAAGAAAATACAAAGGCAGAGACTTTTGTGTTTGTAAAGATGGCTCCCTTTACCTAAGGTTACAAAAGTCACAGATGAGCTTGGCCTGTAATTTATCAGGCAAAGTCCTTCTTTCTGGAACACAGATGGAACTGGATGCTAGATCAATCTATTGTGCCTAACCTCAAGGGAATTCAGGAAAGCCTGGCTCTGGAGTTTGGTAAGATTCTTTGTCCCTACTCCACTCTGCCTGGTTTCCAGCAGAGACACAGTCCCTCTAGTCCTGGGCCACCTTACACTAAGCTCTGCTGCTGCCCTGGGCCCACCACGCGAGGCGGAGACATTAACACTGACTGAGAGCCTGTTCTGAGCCAGGCACTGCACTAAGGGGTCTTAATGAATTTCGTTTAACCTTCGTAACAAATTCATGGTAAAATTTATTACATCTGAATTTTAGTAAGGAGTCAATGAAGGATTTTAAGCCAAGGAAATGGCATGGTCTTAGTATATTAGTCCTTCGGAAAGACCACTTTGTTTGAGATATAAAGAGGTTAGACTGGAGGGGGTCAAGACTGGAGGCAGGGAGATCAATCAATAAGCCGTTGTAGAAATCCAGGCAAGAAATGACAACAGCTGGACCTGAGACAGTGGTGGAGAGAAGACGGCATACTGAAGAGGAACATACTAAATAGAATTAACATAACTTATTGACCTGCTGGATATAAAGAGTGAGAAGGGGTCATTAAGGATAATTCTAAATAAGGAGAAAATCTGCTTATGATTAAGAATCACAGAGATCAAGATAAGATAAACTTCAGATTATGGTACCATATAATGCTTCTTAAGAAATTAATCCAATGGGAAGATATTACTCAAAAAAATTGTCAAGAGTTCTCTTTTGAGGGTAATCTCCCTATTTTCCCCTACAGTACTCACTGGATTGGATCATAAAAAAGACAAAGGTATCACAAACTTTTTAAAAATTAAAATACAACCTATCATGTGCTTTTCAAGAGGCAATGTGCTTTGGTCAAATTCTCTCAGAATAGATAATAGAAAACAATCTACTTGGTGTTTTTGGTTCAAACACAGTAAGAATTCTTGTGGTTTGCAGACTGGGATTCTTTTGAATGTTGACTCAGTAAAAAGGACAAGCCTTTCTTGTCTATTTTTTAAGTGAGAGTAAATGTGGTGTATTTTGTGAGTTTCTTTGTGTCTTTGCAAAACTACTAACCTCCAAATTTATTAGGCCCAATGACAGATAACATTTTTCATCTTGATCACTGAACTGACTCTGCCCACAAGCAAGGCCACCGTTCACTGAAGCTTTCACGTATTCTGAAGAAGTCCGCAGCAGAAAATACTAACCTAGGCCTTAGGACTGGATCTTTCTTTCAGTGGTCACACGGCAGTTGCTCTGAATTCTTAAGAAGGTTTAACAGAATATCCAGAAGTGTGCTGGCAAGGATCTATAGGAAACAGAAAATTCAATTATAACAAAGGAGTGGCGTGAAAAAGGACTTGCTGTTCTACTAAATACGGACAAGCCAGACGGGCCTGCAGATACTTTCCAAAAAATCTCTGGGTAAGGCATCAACTTATGAGGCCAGTAAAGTCACCGACGAGTAATAGAGTGGTGAAAAGGAAGAAGAGAAGGGCTTAATAAGGAGGAGCTCTGTTGCCCGCAAACAAGCAAGCACGCTCAGAAAGAGGAAAGAGTCAGATAATGTGCCATCAGCAGAGGACAGACTGGGCTCCGAAAATTCACTCTACGTCAGCAGAAATGGAATGCATATTTTCACATTATAAATGGTGGCTACATCTCAGGTTAGCCCACTAAAGCACTTTTAGAAATAAAAAGCTATCTGCATTGGAGAAAAAAGTTAAAAAACCAATACTTGTGTTTAAACTAAACAGGTACATTTAAGAAAAAAATATTTCTAATCTGTCTTAAATGCTGGTACTTAACCCTCCTCCTGAGATTGTCCCCCACTGTTTGTTTTCAGTGGAGAAGAGACGCTGGCTCAGATCTACCTGCAGTCTTCTGCACAGCCCTTCCTGACCCAGCTCCTCCTGCACTGTGGCACTGCCTGCCCTCCCTCTGCGGGCCCTGAGAGACATTTCCAGAGTCCCTGGCCTGTCCCACTGCACTCTTCTCTTGAGGGAATGTGGAAGAGAGGGGGTCATGGACAGGCAGTATGAACCACAAAAAAATCAATGGTAATTTGTTAGGCAAACATTTACTGTGTGCCTAAAATGTGCCAGGTACCACACTCACTGGTAAATTTGGGACATAAAGTCTAAATCCCAAATTTATAGTTCCAGCTGAAATTCATGACTTTTACTGGTCATTCATGCTATTACCAAATCCCTTTAAATAAACTTATATAGGGAAGTAATTAATGGTATTTTATGAAGCTCCACTGAATGTACCTACATCAGGCTGTATCTTACGGGCTAGCAGTGCTAGGCTGGAAGCGAAGATGAGGCTGACAAACTGCATGTGAGGACCAGTCCCACAACAGCTGAACGAACACCGTGATGACACGACAACATGTACAATGCCCACCCTCCCCGACTGTGCCCGAGTTCTCTGTGGTTCTGCAACACCAACTCAGACAAACTTCCTATCCCTGAGCCACTTAATTTCTTTAAACACATAATCTGTGTTCACCAGAAAAGCCTACAACTTTCCTTCCTTGTCCTGACCACTGGAGCCGAGTCTTCATGCCTGAAGCCTGTCTCTAACATATTAATATGTGATCTGGCTTTTTCAATGTCAAGACGGTACAGGGGTTATTCTGAAGATAGCAGAGTTTACATTATGAAAAAGACAAGTGCTGCTTTTTGTTTGGGGATAAAATTATAGATTATATACTTATGCCCCCACCAAGAAATCCTAATATTTCCTTAAATCCACAAGAAAGACCATTTTCCTCTGATATGACAGGCCCCATTAAGAAAACAACTTGATCAAATTACAGATTTATTTACATGATTTCAAACTTAGTATTATATAATGCATTAGGCGTAATTATTAGAAACCTGCCAAGAAACTGTCCAAAACCCCAATTAAATCATTAGAAATCTGGTAATGGCTTCCCCAAGAAGTTATAGAAATGAATAAAATTTAGGACACATTAACCATTGTCCAAAGAGGGGAGAGGACTAAAGACTTTTTAAATTTTTTGAGATAACCAGACTCAAATTCAGTTGTCAGAAATAATACAGAGAGGTCCTGTGTACTTTTTACTTAGTCTCCCCTGATAGTAACATCAGTGACACTGACGCTGAATCAGTCAAGATACAGATCACTTCCACCCCCACAAGGATCTCTTCTATTGCCCTCTTACAGCCACACCTATATCCCTTCTGCCCCCACCCCTCCTCATCCCCTGGAAATGGAAGACTACTGTCTTCCATGTCTATAGTTCTGTCATTTCAAGAATGTTACATGGATGGAGCCATAGAGTATGTAACTGTTGCAACTTTTTTTTTTTCACTCAACATAATTATCTGGAGATTCATTCAGGTTCCCATCTGTATCAACAATTTGTTTCTTTTTCACTGCTGAGAAGTATTTCATGGAATGGATATACCACAATTTAACTGTCTATCTACTAAAGGACATCTGGTTATCTCCAGGTTTTGGATGTTACGTTAAAGCTTCTAAAACATTCAGGTACATATTTTTACATAATGTAAATCTCCATTTCTCTGGGATAAACAGCCAGAAGTGCAATTTCTGGGTCATATGGAAGCCTAAAGATTTTGATGGAAAGACTATTGAGTCTGAAAGTGCCCATCTTCCCCATGGGAAAAAGAGAGTAAAAGAGAAAAAGCCAGATCTTTGAGGTCATTTCTCTGGGTGCTAAGAGAGTGAGAAATCATTTATGGATGAGTCTGTAGGACCAAGATTTGGAAGGGCTCAGGTGGAAGCCCTGGCATTTACCAAAGGGAATGTGTCGTATGAGCCACTGCACAAGAGAGTTAGAGGCACGCATGTGACAGCTCTGGAGGTGCACAGGAGGCTGAGTCTGTCACCCTGTGAACATATGTGAGCACGCTGGAGCTGCTTTAGAGGTGGGGAGAGCAGGACGGAGAGATGCGCTAGTCTGACTCTCCCGACAGAGGTGACTTTAGGAGTGTACAGTTCTCTGAAGGCTGTTTTTCTACTGTCAAATATTCAGAGAGCGTGGCTACTCCACCCAGAATGTATCCAGAGCTGGGATGCCTGGGACTGAACCCCACTTCAGCCCCTTACCAGATCTAAGACTTAAGCACCATAAAATGACAGATACTACCCAGGAGACCAGTGCTCTCCTGCACCTGAGCTCGTACTCAGCAGCGTTCTGTGAGCCCCTGGAAACGTAGCGGTTTCTAACAAACGGGTGACCTCTAGTGGGGGGTAAAGGAAAGAAAGAGAACTGGTTCCTGGCAGAGGAAAAACCGTAAGAACAGTCGATAGTGGGGACAGTCAAACCCCAGAAAGTCCTCCGGTCGTTTACCAAGGCCTGGTTCTGGTTCCTAAGGGACACAGTGTCCATAAGGGCCAGCTGACTGGCTCAGAGGCCGACTCCCTGGGACTGTTCAAAGCAGGACTCGGGGGGTCAGGTCTTAGAGGGCTGGCACAGCGTAGCGTTTGAAACTCTAACTCCATGCTCTGCGGCACTGCCCAGGAAACTGCATGGGGATGGAGTCACTCATCCTCTGGGACAAGGCAGTCACCTAGATTCCGGTAACAAGAGCTCCTAATGCCAAACAGTGCTTGTCTCAACCCACGTAACAAAACAACAAGGAGGTTTTGGTGAAAGCTTGTGCGCCACCAACTTGATAGAAATACATTTTCTTATTAAAACTTTTTTTTACATTTTATATTTTTCTTTTATATTTATCTTAGGTCAATCTATACAACTTTAAGATAGCATTCTTGATGGTTAAGAACTAATGGAGAAGACACGTCTATTTTAACATACACTTATTATACCATCACTTTAATTGGTCTTCTATGTCCAGTATCACCAGCCATACATAATGTATTGATTTATTTTTCATTTTGAAAGATCCCTAGGAAAGGCAAGACTAAGTGCTACATTCTTGGTTCAGATGGACTGACAGCCTTATGCCTATGCAGCAACTTTGATCAGAGATCAAAGCACCAGACACTTCAAGGAAATTCAAAGAAAAAATAGCATAGCTGGAAAGACACACCAGCGGATCTTACTGTCTGCATCTTCTAATGTCAAAGGAAAGAACTAAAACTGAGAGTGACACACAGTAAATGGAGTCCCCAAATCTGGATTCGCTACAGCTCACTTCTTTTATTCTTGCCCTTTAAAAAGGATACTTGCTTTTAAAATATAAAATAACCTCAAAGAACCAAAAAATAAAAACGCCCAATGAATTCATTAAATCCTAACTGCTTGCACTTTAGAATTATTATTCTTAAAACCTAAGCAGTGCACAGATCCACAGATACTAGGCATGGGGGAAAAAAAAGCCATATTTGAGAGTAAGTAAAAATTTTAACAATTTAAACTTTTCCCATACATTGGTATGTTTCTTCAGTCTGCTTTTCTTTAGCAGCTGTATTTCTCAGTGTTCTTACTGAATTCCTTAGCACATTAAAAAAGAATCTGTCCTATATTTTCCCAATTATCACATAGAGTGGAATTCGTTGATATTTTAGACCAATCAAAATGCATATAGCCTAAGAGAATTTTAAAATAATATTTTTGATCAAAATTCAACTATCACAATGGGTTATTAGGCAATGTATTTAAAAGATGTGACACAGATGGATCTGACTACAATGTAATAAGGTTACAGAAGCAGTTTCATTTCTTTATTGGCAAATAGTTTAACTGTGACAGCAATCGTGATGCAACGCTTGCTTTTGCTCACTACAAAACTTCCAAGATTCCAGTTTAAAGTTCATCTTAAACTGCGATGAATTTAGGGTCCGTATTTATCTGTTTTTTTTGGAGTCTGTGTTGAAGGGCCTGAGATTCACATAGATCTTATGGCTAGAGTTCCAAATTTTAACCTTTGAGGTATCTACCAAAACAAAGGCAAAACATATGTGAATATTTGAGTTCTTAAAAAAGGAAAAGGGCAGCCCTCTTTCTGAAAGCCTGGTAGTAAGTAAATAAAAAAGGAATTGAGAATATTACCCTTTTAGGCTATTGCAGTACCATGACAAATATTTTAAAGAGGAGGTTTATAAATAGAACCTTCTGAATTTTATTTCTACGGCTCAAAAATAATTAACAGATGTTCAAAAAAAGAGTAAATGTTAGATAGACCTGGACTCACCACAGATACATTTTTATGTTTAAATTCGTGGAGAATACACATTTTATGGTATTTCCAAGTCAAATTTGACTCTAAAATGTTTAATTTTGTGATTTCTTCAATGCCAAGCTGTCAATTACTTCATAATTAAAACATTATTAATGCAGTAAAGCTGTGAATTACAGATGCTACTTTAATAAAGGCTAGTTCATTGTGCTTAAGTTCATATAATAATTAAAAGTAGGCTAATCGGGTATTACTTAGGTGGTGTTCTTAGGGAACAAAGGATTTACTTATGTTTGTAAATGGTTATTATGTTATGTTTATTATTTATAATGAAAAAGAAAAAATGATTTGTATGTTTGCTATTACTCTGCAAACAACTGCTTAGCAACATGTTTTAACATTTATTAAGTTATACTCCAGGCATTATTTAAGTGTTTTTCCTGTAATAACTAATTTAAACCTCATGGGAAAAAAACCTAAATGGGAAGTACTATCATTATTCTCATTTTCAGGGTGAAAAAAACTAAGTCACCAAGTTTGTTTTCTTAAGATGCTTTTTTATATAATGAATTAATTTAGCAAATCCTTTCATCAAAGATTACATAAAGGGAAACATTAGTCTAGTCCACACACTCTGAATTAAACTCTTGGAATCATTTTATTAAAAGTAAACTTTTTAAACTGTGGGAAAACAATAAATACCTGGAAATGTTTCTTACTTTATAGGAAGCATCAGTCTAGCTTATATATTCTGAATTAACTCTTTGCAATCATATCACACAAAGTAAACTTTTTAAAATATTAGAAACCCAAATAAAATATTTGGAAAAGTTTTCTACTTTACAGGAAGTGACTACATTCCTAGACTCATTGTTCAAGTATTTCTTACTTGTTAGGATAGTGAGAAAACACTTGCCTAAATTTTTATTTCTCCATCAGGAAATCAAAAAATCAGCAAACAAGAATTTTTGATATATATTTCCTGCAATATTTATATTACATAACTACTGTTTTTTTACACTATTAAAATTTAGCTATAATTCAAATTTCAGAAAGATATTGCCTTAAAAATTAAAATGAATTTTTTACAAGGAGAATATTGTTTATCTTGGATATTTCATTTTACTCCAATGCTTTTCAGCATTTTCCAAAATTTTTACTGTGTAATTTTACCACGTTTAAAATTCTTAGCAAGGGACTCCCTCTCATAGAAGTTTCCAACTTATAATTATATAATGGAGGCATTAAATAAGCTCTAGGAGGTCAATCTGAAGTTTTTCATACATATGTGTTACTTTTGTAATAAAGTTATTTGATTTTTTAAAAAATTACCTTTTTCCTAGCTACAGCAGTACGCTATTTACATTGCCTAATGGCGCCACCTTGTGGCCCACATGGGCTTCAAGAGCAACTTGAGCATCTAATACTGGTATAAAGCAGTACCAGTAACCGCCTTTGAAGCTTCTGCTTCATTTCAGTTACCTATTACAGTGCTCACTACTTCGGAAATTGTTCAGAATTAAGATAAACTTCAATTTTCCTTAAAAAAGAAAAGTTAACTAATACAATTTTGTAAGTCAATTAGAAAGAAAGAAGAGAGAGAGAGAGAGATTTACCAAGCAAATTAACAGCATAAATATAAATATGAAAAATCTAAACCTCTTTAACCTACATTATCAGACTTCATTTACACAGAATTGTTACGGTACTATGAAAATGACATTCTTACTTATTCATTTACTCGGTGTTATTTAAAAACGTAGAAATTAGAACTTTTGTAAATTATTCCTTATTTTAAAAAAAATTATTCCTTATTTTCTAAATAGTCCACAAAATTTAAACCAGACTTTACCTCAAATAGTTTGAAGGTACAAGATTGTTTTCTTAGGAGAAATTTAAATTTATTTCTGTGAAATTTTTACAGCTGGAAGGGCCATCCAGGATCATCTAACCTAGACATCTAACCCAATCTCCTTATTTTTCAGGTAAGGATACTGAGAACCAGAGAGGCTCTAACTTTACCTGCCAACCCTTACCTCCATGGTTCTAGATAAATATAACTATTTTATTTAATCACTTTCAATCTTTACAATGCAACAGATGGCTGGACTGTACCCGCTTTGGAAAAAGCACATAAGATCATGAAGAAAAAAAGATATATATATATATATATATATACATATATATATATATATATATGTACACACACACATACACACAAACACAAAGACCATGGAAAGAGTTTATGTCCTCAGAAAAGATGGCGTAAATCTGGTATATACTTGCAAATTATTTTGTACATGGGCATTAATTTACTGAGGGCAGAAACAAGAACCTAAACTCATGTCCTCAGACAAAAAGACAGCATACTTCAAAATAAATCCTGGTTCTCAACTTCTTTGTGCATGTATTTTGTCTTTAAATGTATAGTTTGTAGCACCTCTATGCTAATTTTAACCTAACGTAAGAACAAAGATAAGTGGCAAATGAACACACTCCACTCAAGCACTTTTATGAGCCCTGAAATGTATTATGTAAAATGGACAAACTTCACTGGGTGTTGGTTTTGGAGGTTAACAATACATTATCATCAGCAGCAGTAGTATTTTATTTCCACCAGTCACTGATAAAATAATCCAAGCCTAGTTGCTACGGAGCTGAAGATGGAAGTAAAATTATTTACTGTGGAGATGACTACAGTGCTTTTAAATAACTTATGTATGAAAAATTTACAACTCACCTGCATTAAAGAGTTGTACATACTTGCAGACTCCAATCCCTCCCCTACTTTTCTCTCTTTAAACCACACCGATCAGTTTTCTCCCCCATTCTTCTGAAAGTGCTCTTGCCCAGTCACCAGTGATCTTCACACTGCCAAGTCCAATGGTCATTTCACAGTCCTCATCTTACCTGACTTATCAGATCAGCAGGAGAAGCTGGTCACTTTCTCCTTCTTGAAACACTCTCTGCACTTGACTTCCAGCACTTCACCCTCCTGCCTGCAAAGGTTTCTCCTCTCAGTCCTTTTGTCCTTCTTCATTTCTCCAGCCTCTCAACATGGAAAGTGCTAGCGCATTCAATCTCATGGCTTTAAGTACAATCTATATGCTAGCAACTCTCAAATTTCTACTTTGAGCTGGAACTGGTTCATTGAACTCCAGTCTCAAATAATCCCACCTCAACAGGCATCTCAAACCTGATGTGTCTACAACTCAACTCTTGATTCCCGCTCCACCCTCCTTCCCATCTCTCTCCACCCTCAAGTCTCCCCCATATCAGTAAAGGGCAACTCCACCCTTCCAATAGCTCAGACCAAAGGCCTTGAGGTCATTCTTCATGTTCAAATATTTGTATTTACAGTGATTAAAAAAAAATTATCTTTTTTTCTGTCGAGAAAAGTGTTTAAGTCTTCAAGTTTGTATCTTTTGTTTTGTTCTTTTTTTTTCCTCTGGGAATTTTTAGGGGTTGGCTCCGCTCTCTAGTTGTCCTAATCATTTCACACATCCTTTTTAACTGTTTTCTTTTGCAGAGCTGCTTAAGTTAGGCCCTTCCATTACTGATTTGATTTTCTGTAATATTGGTTGTTCCTTACTGTTTACAATTTGGATTTTAAATTTATGTTTTTATATAAATTTAGTCTTTTTATCTTAATCTCCTTATGATACTGATTTTTTAAAAATTTTATATATTCCTAATCCACGTTTTTCTAGATTTTCTTCTAGTAAATAGTTGTCAGTGGCATACTGTTCTGTGTAGAGCTAATGAACCTCTTCTCTTACAGTGCAGAGTTCATCAACTCTGTTGACTTTTTTATTATTTATACTTTAAAAGTGAAAGAACTTTTGAGATTATCACTGTACTATTGAATTTGTCATACCAAATTTGCTCAATACTATTCTACTAAAGACTTTTTCTAGATTTTTTTACAAAGAAAATAACTAGAGGATTGGATTTTGTGTTGGCATTCTGTAAGGGATTACTGTGGTGTTTGAAAAAGACTTACCTATTTAAAATATTTTTGGTATTATTAGAACTTAAGTTTACAGTCATATCTTTGTAATAAAATCCTTTTTTTCCAATCCAGCATACAGACCTAAGAATGATCAACTTAAACTTCACATATAACAATAAAACCAGTGACAAAGGAATAGCTAGTCTCCAAATTAAATAGATGCTTGTTCCTCTTTCCTTTTCTTTCCAGCTTTATTGAAATATTGACAAATAAAAATTGTATATAGTATTTATGCAGCATGATTTTTAAAGGTGTACATGTGATGATTCAATAGTACATTGTGAAATGATTACCCCAATCAAGTTAATACATCCATCACCTCACATAGTTACCTTTGTGTGTGTTTGTGTGTGATGAGAACACTTAAGATCCGCTTAGCAAATTTCAAGTATATAATACAGTATTAACTATAATCATGATGCTGTACGTTAGCTTTTCAGAAATTATTCATCTTATAACTGAATGTTAGTACCCTCTGACCAACATCTTCCCATCTCCCCCACCCCTCAGCTCCTGGCAACCACCGTTCTACTCTGGTCCTGAGTGGGACTTTTTTAGATTCCACGTATAAGTGAGATTATACAGTATTTATCTTCCTGTGTCTGGCTTACTTCACCTAGCATGATGTCCTCCAGCTTCATCTATGCTGTCACAAAAAACAGGAGTTCCTTCCTTTTTAATGGCTAAATATTCCATTGTGTACATGTATCACATTTTCTTTATCGTTCATCTGTGAATGGACACTTAGGTTGTTTACATATCTTGGCTATTGTGAATAATGCTACAGTGAACATGCAGCAGGTATCTCTTCCAGATAATGATTTCATTTCCTTTGGCTATATACCCAGAAGTATAGAGCCTGAAGAAGAACTTGCCTTTCTTTTTTAAGTGCTATTTAGTTTTTTGGACCTTCTCTGTTCACTGGTGTTATAGGCACTTCCTCCAAGGCAGTGTATAGAGGCCTTTAGATAATTTAACTTCTGATCTGCCAGTGGTTAAAACAATTCTAAGACTAAATATGTTCAACAAACAGTAGACACCCCTTTGATAAAAAAAAGTAACTTTTTTGCCCCTAGTTCTTGATCAAGTGGCCATAAACACACATTTGGCAAAGAAGTGCTGGTATTTGTGTGTATTCAACAAGCTATCCAAAAAGCAGTAATTTTAACAAATTTATGAATACAGTCAATTAAAAGGTATGTGCACATTGTTATTCAGGGATGGTACCAATCAGTCAGAAACCAGTGCAAGAGCACACATGGTTTATTTAGCTGTCTTTTACACACTGGGTCTTTATGAGATCAGATACTCTGTTTGCTGTGTTTTACTTTTTAAAAAATGAAGTATATTAAAACTAGCCAAATAATCTCTATTTTCACTTATTACATTATGGTGTCTTTTTTCCTTTAGCCTGAGTTAAATTTTTACAAAACGTCCTGAAGTATGACATTTTCGGAGCAGTTTATCTAGACATTCCAACTCTAGTGGCAATTTTAGTCCTAGTATCAGTTTTTTCCCAGAGCCGAATGGCATTTCTTTTATTTAATTCTCTTTCTGTCACTTCCCCATTTGGGGCTATGTTTCGCCTGTCGGCTGTTTTTCTTAAAAACAAAACAATAACTGGTATTGTCTGTAAGAGTTTTCCCCCAGTGAGCTTATTTTATCTCACTTGTTTATTCAGAGCATCCTTTCAGCTTGTTCTTCGTTATCTCCTTGGTGAGCTCCTAGAATTTACCCACCCTTCAGCCTACTTCCAACCACCATGAGATTTGTTCCATTTAAGCATGAGATTTCTTAGACCTCAATTTAACTCCCTCTTGAAGACAGTTAGATATCATTACACCCCGCCCTTTCTTTGACCTTTGTCTTTTGCTGAAACATGTAACACAAGCAATTTTTTTTCCTTCTTAGAAAGCAGTGGCAGACGAATACTGCAGTAGGAGTCAAGTGGTAATGACTACTTAAGGTTCTGTGTCATTTAAATATTTGGTTCTAAGTAATGGAAAACCTAACTTAAACTGTCGATAAAAAAGGGACTTTACTGATGCCTGTATTTCAAGTCCAGACTTAGTGTAAACTTCAGGTGAGGTTTAATCGCGGTTTGGCCCTGTTTCTCTGTCTGCCTTAGCCTGTGTTCGTCCCTTCTTTCTCTCTCTGTCTCTCCTCCCACCCACTGCGTCTATCTCTCTCTGTGTCTCTCTCTCTGTCCCTTCTGAAATATTTATTAAAATGATTAAGGCAACTTTAGCTGTCATCTTCACACCATATTTTCAGGAAAAAGGAATATATCATTCTAGCACTCCAAGTAAAGGGTCTTACTGGACTGAAATGTGTCTACCTCTAAATAAACCACTACATCGAGAGGAATGTAATATGTTCCATAACTTAAAATAATCAGAGCTGATCCCTTCAAAACATACGGACAGTCAAGAGTAATAGTGTTGAGCACTAACAGGACAGGTAAGATGTAGGACTGGTGGGCAACCAAGCTGTGTCCATGACCATGGGACTGGGCCTCCCAGGGAATGAAAAACACATGGTTTGGGATCAAACCAGTACATTAAGTTAATGTTTTAGCATATGGAAATAACTGATAGAATACAAAAAGTGGAAAACCAAAAAGATGTAGTCAGAACAGTAAATTAGTTAAACATCTCTATATAAGCACAAAGTGATGCGTGGAGCTTAGCTGTCTGGAAGTGGGCACTGGCAGCCAAGAATCTGACTCCTGCTGGGTACTGAGGATTGAAAGTACTCCGCAGACAAAAGACTGGAGTGGGGTTATGGCTTAAAGTCAGGGCCTCGACTGGTACCTCCTAGGGTTGCTAAGAGAATTAAATAAAGGTAGTAGGTTTGAAAGCACTCAGCAAAGCGACATACAGCAAGCCCTGAAGACAGCTATTACTGCAGTTCCTTCACCACTGACATTACAGCTATTTCAGCTCGGAGCGCCTGGGTACCACTGTCCGTTTTTATACTGAGAAATGTTACTATTTAATGGTATTTTTTTTAACCTCGTTATGTTCTGTAGCCAATTGTGGACACTATGGAGCGTTTTAAAGAATGTCTTTTTATCCAGGCCGAGGCCGGTACCGGAGGACAATTTGCTTCTTGCATTGCATGTTAGTTAAGAGGCAATGCTGTCCTCTACCCCGGGCACCCGGGGCCCGTGCCATCGGGACAGTTCACTCACGTCTCAGCTGCTTCTGCTTTCGCCTGGACTGCGGGTTCCCAACAGTCGGGGGTAGCCCACCACCGGGGCCAATGCCATCTTTTCTGGCCTGACGCCTGGACGCCGGCC